AGTTTTCCTTCTCTGTGCTTGTATTTTTCAGTTCTATGATTTCCATTTGGTTTTTTTTAATAACTTCTATTTCTTTGCTGATATTTTCTATTTTTAAACTTATTTCAAGAGAATTTGTAATTGACAATCTAGTTGCAGTTTTAAGACAGTTGCTATAAAGTCCTTGCCAAGATTCATCTCGGTGTTGGCATCCATTGCTTGTGTTTTCTCATTCAAGTTGTGATTTTCTTGGTATGATGGGTGATTGTTAATAGTATCCTTGCCAGGATTCATCTCTGTGTTGTCTATTATGTTAGGGGATGCTAGTACCCATTTAAATCTATTTTAGCAAGCATCACCCTATTTGGGGTTAGCACATGGGTCTTGGCCTACTTTTGTGGACTGTGGTTTCAAAGGCAGTTTAATTCTCAGCAACTTCGCAGTGTTATTTTGGTTGGCTTAGTTTATCTGGTGCCACTGGGTCTTCTGATTCCTGCTGTGCGGTATCTCTGTTGGTTCCTGAGGGGTCTGGGTATCTCCTGGTGAAGGGATGTGAGGGTCCCCTGACTGGTTCTCCCAACTTACCCTTCTACCCTAGTGTCTCTGGGTTGGAAAGAAGTCTTAGGTTTATAGGATAAAGAGGCTTCCTGAACTGGTCTACCTGTTACAGTTGGATTTCTCCCTCAGGCTCAGCCCACCCGCCCACTTAGGTAACTCTTGGTGGAAAAGGGGAGTCTCAGACCCTGTGAGGAAGAAGAGTGCCTCCCTGGTGGTTTATTTCTGCCTGGGCTCCCAATTATCCCCCTTGCCAGGTGGTGTCTCACCTACCAGAGGGACCCCACTCTGGGGAGGAATGAGTCTATCTGGACTGCCTTCTGTTGCTAGGCTAGGGGTTGGAAAGGACTCTCCTCTTCCTCCTGATGGGTGCTAGGATGCACATGTCCTGTCACTGTGCTGTTCCCTGATCCTGGGGTCCCAAACCAGCTCACCTTCATAGCACCTTTCAGAGGTCTCCTTTGGTCATCTCTTTTGCTATGTCCAGGTTTATAGCTGTGCTTAGCAGGCAGAAGCAGGGAAAAACAGGTCTATGCCATCTTGTCTGGACCAGAATCAGAAATGTTAGCATTCAGATTTTAATATTTCTCTTGCTCCTTTTGTAAGGTCTATTTTTTAAATGCTGCCTCAGTCATTATAATGTGTGATTCTGAAGTGATTTATTTGCTAGGGTGAGAAATATGTTTTCTAAAGAAAGATTATACAATGTGGGAGATTTCACAAGCATTGGTCCAACAAATAGGAATCACCTGCCCAGCATGATGGAAAGGAATGGGAATAGAATACTAGCCAGAAGACATGCCAGCAATAGCTCTCCCATATGAGAGCCTCCAAAGAAAGCTACTTCTCCTCTGTTAAAGCAAAAAAGTGTAAAATACTCTTGTATTCGCTTGCTAGGCCTGCCATAACCAGTGCCACAAACTGGATGGGCTAAACAACAGGGACGTGTGGGCTCACAGTTCCGGCGCCAGAAGTCCGAGATCCAGCACCAGCAGGCCCAGGCTCCCTCTGAAGGCTTCAGGGGAGGAGGTGTTCCAGGGCTCTCTCCCTGCTTTTGGTAGTTCCTGGCTTGTGACAACATAACCCTCATCTTCACAAGGTGTTCTCCTTGTGTGCTTGTTTGTGTCCAAATTTCCCCTTTTATAAGGACACCAGTCATATTGGGTTGGGGCCCACTCCACTCCAGTATGACCTCGTCTGAACTAATTACATCTACAACGATCCTATTTCCAAACAAGGTCACATTCTGAGGGCTGGGTGTTGAGACTTCAACGTGAATTTCTGTGGGACACAACAACCCATAACAACGCCCAAGGAGAAGCTTTGGGTATTTGGGGGCTCTCTTCTTTCTTCATCTTCGGTGCTGGATGAAAGTTATCTGCATAGTAAAGCCAAAAAGAAACCCTAACCCCTAGGACAACAGTCATTCTGCAAACATTTCTTGAGATCTGACTTTGTGCCAGGCACTGTTTTAGGCCCTGAGGGTACAGTGTTAAGCAGAGAGACAAGGTTATTCTCACAGTTGGGATAGCCCTGTGGTGTTCAGCAGTCCCCAGATCTCAGTGGCTATGTAAACAGAAGTTCATCCCTCACTCCACACAAAGTCGGCTCTGCCTCTGGGCAGCTGTCCTCCACATGAAGGCTCAGCATCCTGCCTCCCAGGCAACACTTGCTTTCTCATGTGGATCACTGTCTCAGAGGCAGAAAGTGTGGGAGTCTGGCACTAGAGATTAGATGCCCAGAGTGACACACATCACAGATGTTCTTGTTCAATGAAATGAACAATAAATGATGTTCAATGAAATAATTGGCTACTGCAGGTCTCATGACCACGCCTAACCATGGAATGAAGTGTTATTATTTACATATGATGGGAATGATAAATACTTTGGAACATTATCTTATTTATACACAGAAGAGTAATCTTTTTTTTTTTTTAATGAGAAAAAAGAGACTCAGAAAACCTAAGTAACTTGCCCAAGGTCACTCAGATGGTATGTGGTGACTTAACCCAGTCATCTGACTTTGAAACCAGGGATTTCCCACTATTTTACATTGTTTTCTCGGTCTTCATCATCATTATTAACAGGTACTTAAAAATCCATCAAACCGATTATTAGTCATTTCTCTTTTGTTAATCTTTGTTGTTTCTAATGTTTAGCTCTTTGTTATCTTTGGGCCTAATATTTTGGGATTATTTTCTAAGGATAAATTCCCAGGGGTAGATTGCAAGATCATGGAATATAGACATTTTTGTTCCCCTTATTTTGTTTTCTGCAAGGCTTTTGCCAGCTTTCAACAGAGCATATGATGTTTTTTTTTCCCTCCATGGGCTTGGAAGTCAAACCGCTGACTGCATTGCCATGGCTAAATGACTTCACCTATTTGAGCAGTAGTTCCCCCATCTGTAAAATGGTGGTATCACCATCATCACAGGGTGGAGGGAATGTAGGTGAAGGACCCAGTCCAGGGCCAGGGTCACAGTAGGTGCTCAGTGAAGACTGGATGTTCATAACTGTAATCTCAGCAACACTGCATGGTCAATGCATTTTGTCAGATAAGGGAATCTGAAGCATTGTATCAAGAGCCCGAATGGGAACTATGACTGGAAATTCAAAATTCATCCTCACCACTGCTGAGCCCGTGCTGTAGCTGTAATGGCAATTATGCCCTATCTGATCGGCATATTTGCTACACACGGGCTTACTTTGTGCTTTTGCACAAAATGTTCTTTACATTTAGAACAGGTGCCCTTACTACTTTCTGGGAATTTGCTTTTTACATTGACCAGAATGCTGTGCAAATTGCTTCCTGATGGCAGGTATTTACTGGACTTACTAGCTGGAGTCGATTGCCACAGAGTTTATTGCTCCCTCTATCTCTCTTTGGGATCTTTCGCTTAGTTATTAACCTTTAACAGAAAATATTCACCAGAATAAGACTAAGCAATGAAAATCACAAGGGTATGTGGCAATCTGAGTTTTTAAAAAAGGCTGAGAGAAATCTGGCAAGCTCTATCAAAATTTCAAATTCGTCTTTCCCCTTTGAATCAGCAATTCTGCTCTAAGAATTCATTTTACTTGACTAAGAATAGTCACCCAGGCACACAGTCTATGGCAGCTTTGTTCAGTGCAGCAAAACCTGGGAAAACACCCAGCAGTCCAGTTGAATGGCTAAATATCTATACCCTGTAGCAGTTAATGGAATCATTGCATGGGCTGACATGGAAAAGATGCTCAAAATATTTTAAGTGAAAAGAGAAAGTTGCAGTACTCCACAGCAGCCCACTATGGCCTGTGGGCCAAATCCAGCCTGCAGCGGTGTGGTGCATAACATTTATTGGAGCAGTCACAGCAGTTCATAAATGAACGTGTGTGACTGCCTTCCAGCTCCAAGGGAGAATGCAGTAGTTGGGATAGAGAACTTAGGACCTGCAAAGTCGAAAATATTTACTACTCGGCCTTTCACTGAAAACTTTCGTCAATCCCTGCCCTATCCTATTATCCTACTTGTGCTTTTTACAAATGGAACAGTGAAGGGAAGAGATACAATGATGGATATGCTATATGGGGATAGATAATTTCTGGGAACAAACAAGACAAACCACAGCTAACAACGATTATCTCGGGGGTGAGAATGTAAAGTTAAGCGTGGAAGAAATCAGGCGAAGGGAGTTTCCTTCCACTTTATAAGCTTCTATGTTCTTTGAGTTGATTTTTCTAAAAGCAGGTATAACTTATTTTAAATGCATTTTAAGAAAATCAAATGAAGCAGGAGGAGGTCACCAATGGACCATGCTCAACCCAGCTAGTGGTGGGGGACTCCTGGCTACTGAAATATATAGATATCTCTATATGTTAGACCTACTGAATTAGAACTGGGAGGGCCTAGGGCCTGGAATCCAATTTTTAACCAGTTCCCCGGGTGATTCTAACATACCCCAATGTCTGAAACCCCTGCTCTAGTCATAAATCTCAGCGGCCAGGAAAGATTTCTCTGGGGGTTGTAGTGTACTCGCTGTGAGATAATCCAGCGAACACCTACCAGAGGAACGACAGCAAGGATAACAGCTCCCATGCATGAGCACTTCCTAAACGCCGGGCCCCGTGCTCTAGGCTCTATAAGTCACGGGCAACGCCGAGCCAGGGAGGCCGAGGGACCTGCCCGAGGCCTCTGAG